ACTGACACTCCTAAGCCCTCATCCCGAAATCGTGACCTCTTCTGAATTGCCAACCCCGACACCCTAAGCGCTTAAGACCTAAAGTGGTTTGCTTTTAGGGCTTATAGGGCTATATGTCTTGGTACCCCAGTAACCACATAAAAATAAGGGCACATGTTTTGGGGTTGGTTACTGTATAAGGGAACCTTGAATAAAACACAAAGGAATCAAGGGTACTACTTATCAACGAAGCCGTATCGACCGCCCCAAAAGGCCGGAAACCACATCATGCTTTTGGGCTTTCGGATTAAGGACTTCAGGTTTCAGGATCGAAGGTTCCAAGCTCCGGCCCTGAAACCGAAAATTCCAAAATAGGATGGGGATTGTAGTAGTATAGGGTTTAGGGTTTAGGGTTTAGGGTTCAGGGTTTAGGGTTTAGGGTTTAGGGTTTAGGGTTTAGGGTATAGAGTTTAGGGTTAGGGTATATGAACCCCAAACCCTGAACCCTCAACCCTTTAGTCATCATTTGGTCCTCAAGAAAACCCCCAAACCTGGTAATGCCGCCTGTGACAGCTCCAGCCACATCCGGTGCTTCCAGGTCCAAGCCTTCTCCCCTGACTTTGGCAGGAAGCGCGTATTGGCAGGAAGGGCGCTAGGGCAAACCCTAACTGAACCCTAAATCCTACGTAAACCCTGAACCCTACATGTTGTTGTTCATTTATGTCTTCGCGCCAGTATGCAGGTCTTGGATTTTGGGGTTTTAGGATGCTTTGGATTGTAGGCTTTAGGGGTCAGGGTTTGGGGTTTTGGGCTTGGGGTTTAGGGTGTATGGTTTAGTGGAAATTGCTTCGGGCTTGCAGCGCTTGGGGCAGAGGCGCGTGCTTTCAGGTGCACCGCTTTAAGCTTGGACTGCATTGGGGCTCAGGGTTTGGAATTAAGGGCTTAGGGCGAAATATTGTCCCCGCAGCTGCAATCAAAGCATGGAACAAAAACACGCCAAGGGCGGATAGAGGCACCATCGCCCCGAACAATCACCGCCTACTCTAAACCCGTACCCTAAAGCCTATACTTTGAACCCTAAACCCTGAACCCTAATTAAACCCTATATGCACCCCAAATTGCACCTAGGGGGGGGGGGGGGGGGGGGGCGGCGTTTAAGACTTGAGGCATTTCGGAATGCAGGAGCCTAAGTATGTCCAACATCATTTAATTCTTAATCTATCCATGACATGCATCGGAGCCACAGTCACCTTTATAAATTGCAAATGGTACCCTATCTACTTTAGTACGCACAAGTTTCAACAAGCTGAACTGTTCGTCAAGGAGGATCTCTACGCATCGTTGAGGCCTCTTTATACCCTAAACCCTAAACCCTAAACCCTAATTAAACCCTAAACCCTTAACACTAAACCCTAAACCCTAAACCCGAAGCAACCCACGCTCTGACAGACCCAAAGACAGCACCCCGCAGAATCCGACCTCAACAGCTGATTCACCCTCGCGGCAAGGGCTGGGATCAGCTGGCCCTTGGCCCAAAAGAACACATTGCTTGCCCTAAACCCTAAACCCTAAACCCTAAACCCTAAACCCTAAACCCTAAACCCTAAACCCTAAACCCTAAACCCCCAAGCCCAAGAACCCCGAACCCCTCAAGCAAGCTTCTTGCTGACTCTATTCCTTCACCCGAAGATGCCTTAATTGCCCCAACCAAACCTTAGTCTCAGATCCTAATGGCTTTTAAGCCCTAAGTTATATGAAGTAGGTAAATATTTCTTGTACCCCCAAAAGGACACCCGGTACATATACACTCACCAATAGTAAAAAAGACTCGCCAAAAACAGTAATATAAACCCTGCTTCATACGTAAACCAGACGTCCTCTGAAAAGGGGACAGATTCGATGCAAAATCACAGACACCCACTATGAACACACAGGGGGGGGGGGGGGGTCCCCCAACATTGGGCATCCCCTTCTTTTGTGGGCCCAGGTAGGCTTGGGGCTTATGTTGGGATGTTCCCCCTTATACTAACAGTCCTGAATAAGGATTATGGTGCTCCCTTACTATAATCCCTATTAAGGACTGTTAGCAAAAGGGGGAACATCCCAGGGTATATCTTATATACGGTCTGGATGGCTCAAGATCTACTTTTCTGGCATCGGCTTGCCTTTCAAGCTTGCGAGTTTCAACTAGGTTTATAAGGTTCTTGAGGGAGGGAGGGGCTCAAGGAAGAATGCAACACAAAGATCCCTAATACTCCCTTCTACTCCCTAAGCTACCCTACGCGGTACCCCCTCCCTTAAGGACAAACCCCTCAAGCCCCTGAAATCCATGAAGACCCTTACAACAAGCCCCCGAGCAAAAATCATGCCTGAAATCCATGTGGCTCCTTGCAAAAAGCCCAGAACCCCCAAGAAAGCTAGCCTGAAATCCATAAAGACCCTTACAGAAAGCCCTGAACCCCTAAACCATAAACCCTAAACCCTAAACCCTCAACCCTAAACCCTAAAAACCCTAAACCCT